CAACGTTTGGAGGTTTTTCTTTGACATATACTATTTTATTGCTTTATTAATTGTGGAAATGAAGAAATTTTTTTATAAATATAATAAAATAGTTTGAATCAAAAATTTCAATTTTTTTCAACTTTCACAGATATGAAAAAAGGCTGATCTTTACAACCTCCTTTTACGTCTGAACTTTGAAGGACAAATTTCAATTATAAAAAAAGAGGAAACGTATAGACGCTTTGGATGCAAAATATTGATATTACTCCATCATCTTTAATGTCGCATCATTCAACAGTGACGTTAATGATCAGAAGTCTCAATTAATGAGCAACTTTATTTCGTTTTTAGATTTAATTAATTTTAATAATATTCCAAATATAAATGGTCGGATACTGGATTTAATTTTAGGAAATATCGAAATAGAAGTCCTCAGAGATAATACACCTTCTGTTAAAGAGGACGTTCATCATCCTGCACTGATCATGGAATTCATTACATCCGGATCTCCAACGAAATTCCCATTTGCTAATTCTCCACGGTTTAACTTTCGCAAAGCTAACTTTCCAGAAATGTACACAGCCTTGCAAGATGTTAATTGGACGGAGGTGATCAGTGCAGTTAATGTTGATGTCGCTTGTACCGCCTTGTATTCAGTTATCAATAACATCTTTGAGGTCCATGTCCCTAAATGTAAAAATAAAATGTTTTCGTATCCCCCATGGTTCACAAGTGAAATTATACTTCATATTAAGAAGAAGGACATAGCAAGAAGGAACTGGAAACGCGACGGTACTAAGTTTTCTTATGATCAGTTCAGTAATTTTAGGAAGCTCATTAAGAACCAGATCAGTGTTGCCTACTCCGCTTACGTCCAATCGGTTGAGGATGCCATTGTCAATGATCCTAGCATATTCTGGTTATTTGCCCAGATCAAAAAACAGCAATCTAGAATCCCGCCAAAGATGACGCTTAACGGCAATGTCTGCGATACGCCTCAGGATATAGTGGACAGTTTTGCTACCTTCTTTTCAACAGTTTTTATCCCGTCTGGTCTACTAGGGTCATCTCCTCCAACAAATAATTCTACCGATATCATTTCTTTAAAAAATATAAGTGAAGAAAATGTAATTAGGGCTTCGAAAAGATTAAAGAACAAAATGACCTCTGGATGTGATGGTATTCCAAGTTTTATCGTTAAAGATTGCATTCATATACTAGCGAAACCGCTGGCTTCCATATTCAATCTAATTCTAAAATCAGAGACATATCCGAATATCTGGAAGACCTCTAAAATATGTCCTATTCACAAAAGTGGAGATATCTCTGATATTTCCAACTATCGACAAATAGCAATCCTGTGCAATTTCAGCAAGTTGTTTGAGATCATCGCTTATGAAACGGTTTACTGCTCGGTCAGGGGTGCAGTCTAGATTAATCAGCATGGGTTTATGAGAGGCAGATCTATGGTCACCAACTTGGCTCTAATTACTCAGTACATTTCTGAAGTACTGGACGGTCAGGGACAAGTTGATGTCATCTACACAGATATTCAGAAGGCGTTTGATCAAGTTAATCAGTATGCACTTCTGGATAAGCTTAAAACAGTGGGTATGTCTGATGCAATGCTGTCGCTCATGAATTCATATTTGAGGGATAGAAGGTTATTTGTCGAATATGGTGGTCATAGGTCGAGTTACTATTGAGCCACGTCTGGGGTACCTCAAGGGTCAAATCTAGGTCCATTATTGTTTTTAATATTTATTAATGACTTGTCTTTTGAACGGAAGTGTTTCCATTTGTTTTTCGCTGATGACCTTAAAATCTGCACGTCAGTCAAGACAGTCGAGGATTGCGTCATGTTGCAAGATGACTTAGCTCTAATTTCGTCGTGGTGTTCACGAAACTGTCTCAGTCTGAATGTTTCGAAATGTAAAGCTATGACTTATACAAGAAAAGTTATCTATTTAATTTATGATAATTATAACATCAATGGTCAGGTTATAGACAGATGCACCTCTTATAGAGACCTTGGAGTCATTTTTGATACCAAGCTAACGTTTACTGAGCATATACTCAATATCTCGTCGGCTGCCACTCGACTACTTGGTTTCTGTATCAGAAACTGGAAGGGTTTCTCGAATGTTGATACATTAATGACCTTATTTTTTACTTTTGTCAGGAGCAAGTTGGAGTATGCGACTCTGATCTGGTCTCCTATATACCAAAATTCTGTCGTGATCCTTGAGGCCATTCAACGTAAAGCTTTAAAGTATTTTCACCTTAAATGCACAGGTTCTTATCTAGAAAGAGGTAGTGACCATGGTGCCCTATTAGAGTTTTTCAATTTGGATTCACTGTCAACAAGACAGAACATATTTGCTTTGTCGTTTTTGTATGGCCTCATTCACAATAAAATTGACTGTCAAAATTTACTTGAAAAAATATGTTTCCGCGTTCCAAGGCTAGGGAGTCGACAACAAACGGCATTCTATTGTCAGGCTGGCAAAATCGCCGATTAATCTCATGTGCTGCGTCATGAACAGTGTTACTGAATCGTGTGATATTTACAGTAACAGTTGTGCATCGATTATTAACTGCTATAGATCATCCAATCTTATTTAGAATGTGTGATACTATAGATTTAAGTCCAACAACCATGTCTCTTTAATTGTTATTTTTGTTAGCGTTTCCTGTAATTGGGTTTCACCTGTTGGAAATAAATAAATAAATAAAATAAATAAATACATAAATAAAATAAAAATTTTGAAAAACGAGTGATTAAAATCACTCAGAGAAAATGAGCGTGGTTCTCGTCCCTGACATTTGTCAAACAGGTTTGTGAAGGCACTCATTTTCGGTTAAGTAATATGTTCCAGAGTTCTTCACACCACTAAGCGTTCTAAGATAAAACTAACTTCATATTGTTGAAGCTGACGGATGTCGGCGAGACTTTAGCATTCATTTTTCCGAGAATGACCCGCAGAAAACCTATAATCAAATCCAAGCGAATAAACATAATTTCTGTGTTATGTACCGCAGTTATAATATGGTTTAAGATGACACACGGATTGATGACGTCAGTTACTCAAATCGCTTGAACGCGTTGGTTTTAACCGCGGTTTTGTTGCAAGTTGTTTATTTTAGAAAAGCGCATATATAATTTCTGATTATTTTTATCATCACTTAATAATCCGTGCTTTCTCGTCTACAACAGTGTATGGAAAATTTAAGGTAGAAACCATTCATGATATTGATGGTACAAATGTGTTTTTTCAGAAAATATTGTAACGATGGAACCATGGCTTTGTACCTGTGATAACTTTCAATTCTCTAAACTGTTCCGCATGTCAAAGAAAACATTTATTGATTCATCAGAAATGATAGGAAAAAGTGATGAAAAAAGATATTAGCAAAACCGTATTACGTGGACATAATCCAGTGAGTTTATATGGCCATATTTGTGGTATATGGCTACCCAGGATACTTTCTTAAGCATAGGAACTAGATTTAAAGTGTACCCAACAACAGTAATGAGTATAAGTAATAAGGTGCTCTACTTTATGCTACAACTGAAGTCAGCCTGGATGAAGTTTCTCAAAAATGAAGCCGAAGTACAACAAAAATATCCAATACCCAGCAAAATTCTAACATGTCACATTTCAAATAATAACCAGAAATATAAGAGTTGGGTAGATACCACAATTCTGCGGTGATAACTATGACATATAGTATAATAGCTGATTCATGACGTCACGGATCTTATAACCAAACTGATAACCACACAAATGGTAAATATCATTTCCATTTGGCTATTCGCTTGAATTTGATTTATGTAATGTCAAAAAACCGATAAAATGTCAACTTGTTGTCTAAATAGGCTAGTGTGCAAATAGTTTATTCAGCGCTTGATACAAGCGAGCATGACGTGAACGACATAATGTCAAAAAAAACATACTGTCAGCTGATCATTAAGTGACATCTTTGTATTAGTCTGTAACGTTGGCAATACTGAATCAGGTGTAAATCTGGCAAAGCTCAGATCAGTATTCAGAGCTACTGTTATAATAAACGACTTTAATGTCGCACTAGAATATTGAAAAAAGAGTTTTGAAAAAATTATAAATAAAATACACCATACATGTGTGTACAAAAAAACCTACAACATCGTTTCATATGCAAAAGACTAGACAAGAGAATTGTCAATACTTTTGCTTAAGTCGAAAGTGTATATGAGGAATAGCAGCGGCCCCAATACAGAGCCCCGAGGCACGCCTGAGGGAATTATTGTCACTGGAGACATTTCTTGGTTCTTGGAGTTCTCTGATGAACGTAACTGTCGTAAAATGAAAGGGATAAATTATTTCTATTTGTCGTTGTCTGTCAGAGCGGTCCGTAGGACCTTTGCTCTTGGTTAAAGTCTTGTAAGTCAGTAGGTCTGTCAGGTATGGCTGCCCAGACACCAAACAAAGTCAGGGAGAAAGAAGGGAAGAAGAAAGGAAGGAAGGAGGGAGAGCAAAGAAAAAAGAAGTGCGTCAATTTGCAGTGCTAATCAGTATTCGGCAATTTTAAATTGATCCTAATATTAATTTTGGGATTGGTTGTTGAAGAAAAATTATAATTATGGTTGAACCTAAAGTCGCACGATTTAATTTTGTTCACAGTGCAAGTCGCGGCCTTGTGTGCTTGCGAACTTGCTCAACTGTGTAGTCTACTGACTCGCGCAACAAAATGTTGCTATGCGATTCCGCTTGACGTAGCTGCGCTTGTTGTTTGATGTAGTCCCTTAGGTAAGGGATGTCAAGGTCTCTGTGAAGGGTCTCGTTGGAAAGAGATAAATTGTCAAGTCCTAAGTAATTCAATTTAGCAAGTTAGAGTTTATGATTGATGCTGTCAAAGGCTTTCGAATAGTCTATAGAGATTAACACTAGAGCCGTTTTCTTATCTAAGGCACTTAAAACACTGTCTTGCAAGTATATACAAATATAGGATTATTTATAAGGCGACTTCTGTTTCAGATTTAAGCGGGAGCTGGTGTTCTCCCAAGAGTGGCACTGCAAGCAGCGTATCAAATGGCTAGACTTGGGACCGGACTATTTCCCCCGATACTTGAGAACCGTCGAATGTATGAGCGAAAGCTGTTGGTTCGACATCTACAAGTGCAAGCCAAAGTCATTCTCTGTGAAGCTGCTCAAAAGAAAGAAGGGCAGATGTACGACTGATCCTGTTGGGTCAAGAAGAGGGATGTCGGGTCTTCCTAGAGAACTGAGAGAGATGTGGATGTGGGAAGAGAGAGCAGTGACGTTTTGCTGTGATTGTGGCATTGGCAACTAGGAAACCGAGACAAAGGAATCAAATTCAGTACTGTTGTTGATATTAAAAGCTGTAGTTTATGGAGCTGTACATACGCCGGACACTGACAGGGCATTGCAATGTTTTCCTTAGTACAGCTAGTGAGGAACATGAGTTGGAAGTCGGTTTAGTTATGATTTATTTATTTTACTTTATACACCACTGGGCGAGGAAGTATTCTAATAGCAGAAACGAGATATTCTGTTTCTTTGGGTGTTATAATGACATGTACGTCATGAAAAAATATGTTTTTTTCCGTCGTGCAAGCCCCACCTGCATATGACTGCATCGCTGGCGCTCTCGATCTCGAGTTATAGCAGCATTGCTAGATTCGAGGTGGGCACGTTATATAGTATATAAGTAGTAATCTGAGCAGATTTTTTTATGAAAATCCCAAATAGTGCAAGGATGGTTCTCACAAAACCTTCGTCTTTTTGATGCCATTGACGGTAGCCTAGAAGATTGTATTAAAAGGCGTGGGAATGATAGTTAATCAACTTGACGCCATTTTTTAATAATGTATGCATGTATATACATTTTTATAATGATGACAGCAGTATGTAAAGTATTGTATATAATAAAGCCAGGATTTTATATTTGAGAAATATTTGTTGTATAATCAGGGTGGCCCATCCATGTGTGGACGGAATATTACTTAAAAAAAATACATTTTGGGAAAATATATTTATGGGATGTTATAAATGACATTTGGGGCACATTTCTAAAATATTGGCCATTATACAGGGTGTGCCAATTTCTACCTACATATCAAAGTTGTGATTTTCAAATGGAATGCCTCAAATTGTATTGCATGTTTGGATAAACCAATTCAAAAGAAGAAAACTGATATAACAAACGATGGGGTTTTGGTAATTCGCTACTGAGATGTAAGGTGTTTTGTCCAGAAAAACCGTCCACTTCGGCAACCCCTCAATCCGCCATTTTGAAATTTGTAGTGCTGAATTTTGTATCAAAGAAAACTTACACACCTCAGCTTTTATCTTATTTGTTACTTTTCCGAATTTTAATTTTTGCTCATACAGGGAGGTCAAAAACGCGAATTGTACATCTTCTCAAAAATTTCAAATGCCTCATCCTGTATATTTGTGCAAGTTTGGATTCGATTTTTTATAAGCTTTTTTTGGTATATGGTTTAATTCAGATAAAATCACTAGATTTTGAGTTATTAAGCTTTTAATAGTACAAAACACAAAATTAAGGAAAAAAAATCACATCCTCCATGGAAACAAAAGACAAACACTGGGCCACTTCCATATTGCCACTAAGAGTACAGATTTGACGTAAAATAATCAGCTTTAGCTTCAAGCGTAATAGAGAAAAACAACTAACAACAACATAAACGAACAACTATCCTTTTTCCTTAATGTTGGTGTGTTGTTCTGCTTAATAACTCAAAATCTAGTGATTTTATCTGAGTCAAACCTTATACCAAAACAAGCTTATAAAAAATTGTATCCAGACTTGCACAGATATACAGGGCGATGCATTTGAAATTTTTGAGAAAAACTACAATTTGCGTTTTTGACCACCCTGTATGAGCAAAAATTAAAATTCAAAACAGTAACAAGTAAGATAAAATCTGAGGTGTGTAAGTTTCCTTTGATAGAAAATTCAGCACTCCAAATTTCAAAATGGCGGACTGAGGGGTTGCCGAAGCGGGGAGTTTTTCTAGACAAAACACCTTAGTATATCTCAGTAGTTAATTACTAAAACCCCATAGTATGTTATATTAATTTTCATCTTTTGAATTGGTTTATCCGAATATGCAATAATATTTGAGGCCCATGGATGGGTCACCCTGTATACAGAATGTTAATAAAGTAGCTGGCCAAACTTCATGTGGTGATTTCTTCGGTGATAGGCCCTGAAATGTTTTGTATGAGACTTTTGGCAAATTTGTAAAGATCCTAACAACCCGTTAGCCAGTTTAGTTAAAATTTGTTGAAAATCAGAAAGGGCAGACGTATCTCTCAGACATAGAGTCACGTAAGATAAACGGGAAAAAACCTGAACTGTTAATGAAAAATGAGTTTTATATCAGCAGTCCTTGATAGTCTTGTGAATTTCCACTCAATCTGCGACGAATTCAAAGATTATCATGGGCCTAACATATAAAAGTCATTTTAGGCAAAAATTACCTTAACCCAGCTTTTCTTTAAAGGTTTTCGGTAATACGCCTGTTCTTGGGCTACTTGGCGTATTCCATCAAATTTTAGTGAAACCGACTAAAGGCTGTTTTTTTTTTGTCCAGACGCATATTTAAGAAAATTTGCAACGTCTGCACCTGGAACACAAAGCATTTCCGGAGCTATGTTCATATGAACCATTTTCTTAAAATCACTCCTTTAAATATGGCCAGACATATTATTTAACATCCACCCTGTAAATTTCAACTCGCAAGATTTAGCATGTCTCGAATACATAAATGGTTGAGATCTACATATATCTGATCAAAACTGTAACGATAATGGTTACGTTAATTTCTAGTCTAATAAATTATTACATTTAATATCTCTTGTCTATTTTTTCCTTTCTCTGGAGCAAATGTTGTGCTTTCAAAAAACACTGGTGAACTTCTACAGGATGTCCCAATATTCCGTAGGTACATAGTAGTACCACGTATTTTTAGACTCAAGTCGAAATAAGACGATTGGACATGACTTACCTCTTTCAAAAGAGCTTCGTTTGTACGTTAGAGGGCGTCTAAGTTTTCTTTCAAAAACACATTTTTTCACTTATTTTTGGAAGCTATAGTCCGATTTGTATAAAATGTGCAACACATGTCCTTAGGAAGCGCCATATAGCGAACATATATGGGTCATGATAGGAACAAGCCAAATTCAGATGTCCTGGGATACTTAACGAATGTCTAGCGAACAGAGTAGCTTTCACATTACTAACATCAAGGTGGGATATCTCAGCTATTTTGCGAAATTTCGAGTTAAAATTTTAATCACTTTATATTTATCAGTAGAGCTAAAATTTAGTATATTTCTAAATCCCTGGTACACCCGTTATATTCCCCCGGTGCAATCGCTGTCCTCCACTGGAAAATCAACACAGAAAACATTGAACATGTAATAAACCACAACAGCGAGGAAATATATTATGCAAGGAACACAATAACAGGAATACAGATCATCCCAGCAACATGCCGCATTGTGCTGTTCTGCCGATCTCACTGCAATGTGTAATTGTTACAACACAGCGCATTACTGGTTCCAAAATTAAACAATACATTATAACCGAATCGCACGTTCGTTTTATTATTAATGCTTTAATTAAAATATAACAGTTCATTAATATACAGACATCAACGCATGGCATCACTTGAGGGCTGCGAAACAGTTTTCCTCGATCTAGCGACGTATTTTTACAAACCTTGGCCAAAAATCTTTATTTTTTGAACTTATGAACGAAAATACCCATTCGCAACGTTTTTTATGCACTATTTTTCATAGTTTTGGAACGGTGCGGAGTTACTATCCATGTGGCAACGTTGTCCCTTTCCACTTCTGCGCGATTTCGCCCACCGCGGTACCGCTGCAGCGAATTATCGTTCATTCCATGTATATTTTTTGTGCGGTGCAGTACGGTGCTGGCTCTTGTTAATGGCTTCTAGTTATATTTGTTTTGCTGGTTATACTTGTATCCAGATATGATGAGCATATGTTTTCACTTCGCAGTTTTAGATGCACATCCATTTGGGCCTGATGAAGCCAATAAGCAGAATCGTACGTCGGTCGGATTACCAATCCTTCTATTTTTTTTCCTCCTGTTCATTTATTGCGGACATACAATTGGTCCTTTGTTTTTCATCTAAGTTTCCGCAAGGCTACTTGTTTTTCTTTATAGAGCTTTGTTACAACCGGTTGAAAGTAATATACCATAAAAAAAGAGATACGAAGTTAGTCAAATTGGAGCAACGCTTTAGTCAACATATCCCAGTAGGTATATTAAAAGCGTAATCTAGAGACTTTTACAAATCAAGGTATTTTCAAAAGTAAACCGAAGCATTCTGAATTTTGACATTTTTTCTGACACACGTGCGGTTCTGGTAGTAAAAAAACAGCATTGCCTTATATTTGGATTATGATCAGCATCTATCGAAATGAAACAGCGCCATAACCTCTGATGGCGGATAGAGTGTAGTTGTCTCAGAGACCATGTTGATGAGCTGCCAAAAAACACAAGCATCTGTCCATGGTTGGCTATCTATCATGCTAGCAGCATGTTTAAGTTGGACCCTTTGAACAAGAAAGTGAGTTACGAAGAACTAACGGGTGATTTTTTAAGAGGTATAGGATTTGATTTAAAAAAAAAACACAAAAAATTTGGAAAAACGATTAAATCTTTATTTGAGTCGATAGAACGGTCGATATAATTTAATTTTGGCACACTCTCGCCAACATATCGGCCGGTATCTCACGAATAAATGCTTCAATATTGGCCCTAACATGGCCCCACAAGAAATAGTCCAACGGCGTTAAATCACACGATCTAGGCGGCCAATTGACGGGCCCCAAACGTGAGATAAACTGTTCACCGAACTCGCCTCTCAATAGGGCCATTGTTTCGTGTGCGGTGTGGCATGTGGCACCGTCTTGTTGAAACCACATGTCAGCCAAGTCCAGCCCTTCCATTTTGGGCAAAAAAAGTTTGTTATCATCGCACGGTAGCGCTCGGCATTCACAGTTACGTTCCGGCCATTGTCGTCTCTGAAGAAGTACGGCCTGATGATGCCACCGGCCCATAATCCACACCAAACAGTGATTTTTTCGGGATGCATTGGTAGCTCTTGCAATGCTTCTGGCTGGTCTTCACTCCAGATGCGGCAATTTTGCTTATTAACGTACCCATTCAACCAGAAATGAGCTTCGTCGCTTAACACAATTTTTCGATAAAAATGTGGATCTTCCTCCAACTTTGCCAGCGCACATTCGCCAAATTGGAAATGTTGTGGGAGGTCGTGTGGCTTCAATTCTTGCACCAGCTGTATATTATAAGGTTTTATACCCAGATCCAGTCGCAAAATTTTCCACGTAGTGGAGTAACAGAGGCCCAATTGCTGCGAACGGCGGCGAATCGACATTTCACGGTCATCACTAACACTGGCGGATACAGCCGCAATATTTTCTTCAGTTCTCACTCTACGTCTGCGTGTTGGTGGTTTAATGTCCAATAATGTAAACTGGGTTCGAAATTTAGTCACAAGCTTCCGAGTAGCTCCCTCAGTAGGCCGACCAAATTGCCCATAAATTGGAAGCAGTGCTCGATGCACTCTCTTAACCGAGCCTGAATTTTGATAGTAAAGTAAGTCGATTCATGGTTAAATTATAGACCAAACTGAACAAGTTTGACAATGACACAAGTCAAGATTCACGCGTCATCTGTCAAAAACAGTGTTGCCAAAAAGATACTAGCAAAAAAAATCACCCATTATAACAAAGGAATTAAACGGATCAAGTCCGCTAAGCAGATCCATACTGTTAGTAGACATTCGTCCCCTGCCCTACCCATCTGGCAACGTCGCGTCTCACCTGATCGCATGCTGCGTCAGTTGCGGCTCAGCGCCAATCAGTGTTGCCGATCCTACCGATTTTTCGGTATTTCTACCGAAATGAGGCCTTATTTACTGGAAACATCCTCTTTGTTAAAGATATTTTAAAATAATTCCAGATTTTTTACCGAAAAAGAGTTAGAACCAAAAATAAAGCTGAAAAAATGAATTCTATGTTGTAGTAGTATGCCTCATACCAATAGTGTACATACAGTAGCGGGCAAAAGTTTGGAAACAAATATTAACATTATTATGAACTATTTCATATTCCTAAATTAAAATTGTGAAGGAACAGATAATATAAATATTAAAGTCTACTTTTGGCTCCCGGACTAATACAAGGTTTATCCTACCAGTATTCAAATTCTCTGAAAATAAAAGGCGTTTTTTAAATACCACAGTTTTTGTAACGACAAAAGTATGGAAACGTTTCAGTTTTGCCGTGTTTATTCGTTCAGCGATACTATGATATTGCGTGCGGTGAATATTAACATCAGTGAGAATGGCACAAGTAAATGAATTTTCAAATGATTTAAGAGACAATATAATTGAATTAAAATTAGCGTGGGGTGCATTTTCATAGCTCTTCTCTCATAAATAGTTGCCAATAGAATAATTGTAACATTTAATATATTTAGCACCCCACGCTTTTTACTCTGGATTGAATTAATCTGTTAATAACTTAAATTTTATTATAATTTTATTTTGGGGTCATTAATTATGATTGTTCGATCATCTACTACTGTAATATATAAACTCTTTGTAATTAGGAATTATTTTCTACTTTTTAGTTCGAGTAGCTATAAAAGCGTGTTTTTTTTTGTTTCTTAAACTATTACTATTGGGTTTTGCCCTGTTAAGTTAGAGCAATCAAATTCTTCAATCCGAATACCGTCTAAAGATGTTACACGACTAAGTGCTACATAAGCTAGTAAAGCAGCAAACAGTCGCGCGCCTGGATAAACGACTGTATGATCGAAGTACAACCTTGCATCTTGTGGATGGTCGAAGCCCTACTCAGGATTAATGACACATTCGCAATGAACAAGGTGAGAATGCACTACCTTGAAAAAGTATCTGCTTCCATTGTGTTGTAACGAGTGCCCGAACCAACAAAGAGTAAGTGCGAAATTGCACGCATGCGCAGATCGCGTAGTAGCTCCGCTACAGCGGATCTATAAAACATTATTAATCCTGGCGGTCCTAATAGGGATAATGAAAAACTGTTAACAAATTATTGCAGTATCATCGTTCCTTGATACGTGTACGAAATTTCAAATTAATCAAACCTCTGGAAATTGGTGAAAATTATGCTCAAAGGTTCCGCTACATACATATATAACACATACAGGTCAAGCTTATAAAAGCGTGTTAAAAAAGAATTGCATACCAACACGGCATAAGTATACTGTTTTCTTTTTCTTTAAATGTTTGTCCCGCAGTAAAGCTATGCGCCTCAGGGTATAATGTGTGTGTAAGAGAGGAACGCTACTGCTACATGATATTGACCAACAAATTGCAGTCTCATTCTTAAAAAGAAAACCAGTATGTAGAACAAAATACGCTGAAGATTTTCAAGGCATTTATTCTAAAATAACAAATTGACAAAAATATTTTTGTTTAGATTTCTTTTCTATCTATTCTATTCAAAACAAATTAGATATAGTATATTGATTGTTCAAGACCCATAGCGATTCTAACCACTCTGCAAATGTAACATCACTTGTCACATCCGTAAAGCAAGAGAATGCTATGGACACATTCGTATGCTGCTGACAGGAAAAAATTGTCTTTGGTTTTCGCCATTTAAAATTATTGCTGAATTCCATCAAATAGAACAAAAAAGAAACTCTCCAAACTTAAAAAAATAAGTACTTATGAAAAACAATAATGACATTAAACAGGAGCGTCCAACAGGAACCATAAAGATCTGGCATCCATAGCCTCCTTCCTTACAAGCCGCTTTCTGTCATCTGTGCATGCCGCCAAATGATGAATCACAGTGTTTTTGTGAGGCAACAGTTTGTAAACCGGAAATGCAACAGTCATTACTGATAGACATTGGAGTGCTTCCACCCGAACATCCTACAAAAAAAGGAGTCTCATCTACCAAGCATGCTTCCCCGATAGCACGAAATATTCATTAAATAATTATCCAATATCTGATAATATATCTATCTTACTTAAATATTTGTTTTCTTAAACAAGTATTTAATAAATATTTGGAATATAATATTTTTATTAAATATTTATTAAATGTCTTTTAAATAGTTCAAATGCAATATTTCTTTCATAATATTCATCAAATCTTTACTTTTCAATCAATGGCAAGCCGACCTGAGCCGACCCGTTTCCCTGTGAGTTTCACTATGATAGCGTGCTTCCTGTGTACATTATTTGAGTGTTTTTTTGTGGAAAAATGAAATGGGTAAGTTTTTCGATAATTTCATAGCTTAATTTATCTGACTAGTAAAAATTATTGTGCCAGTTGAGTATAAAGGTATTTACAAGACCACAACTAACTAGCCTTGAAGTGTAGCAGTTATTTGGGATTGGTGAATTTATTTCAGAATGGATACGAAAATTATATTCATAACATCCCAAAGAAAAGTCGTATAATCGCAACTTGATCGAGATACATCAAAAATGTTTTTTCCTTAAATCTGAATCATTATTATTAATTTTGTCGTAGTAGAGGACAAATCAGCTGTAACTATTTTAAAATTTTCAAGTTCAACAGCGACGTTCCAAAATTTAAACAGTCGAAAATGCTATATTTTTGTCCCTTGAGTTACAATATAAAATCAGAAAATAGTTATAGCTAAATTAGCCCACTAGCTACTGCAAAAAAGTCACATTTCAACAAAATGAATAAGTCGTCTATTTTTTAATTTTTTTTCTTTGAAAGTCAAAGGATCAAGTTGTGCCCATGGATATTTTTCATCAAGATATTTAAAATAGCATACCAAGTTTTCTTAAAAATTAGCCAAATCTCTAACTATCATAGGAAGAAAATGTGGGGTTCTTTTAGATGCACTATAGAGCTGCTTTTCAGTGACTACTCGGAGTGCCTAGCACCAATATTATTCCACTTCAATTTATATTCCCATAAATGCACTGGAAAGCAGCTTATGTATTCAATAATACTTCATAATTAGTAAGTCTATTTTTTTTTCAGAGACGTGCATTTGTAAGATTAATTTTCTTTATAAACCCAATTTTATAAAAGCATTCCTACAGATTTTGCTAAAATAACCATTGAAGAATTTTCTATATACACTGAAAACATGTATCAGATTAATGCTAGAAAATCCATACACATTTACGAAAAATATTAGATATTTCATCAAAATATAAAATTGGCATTTGAAAATCTTTCCTCATATATTTTCTAAATATTTGGAAAAAAATATCGCAAAAATATATGAATTATACATATATATTACAAATATTCATAATAAATATTTTATGAATATATAGGGAATATATTTATTAGATATTAAAAAATCTGTCGCTACAAATATTCAACAAACATTTTTTTTAAATATTTAATGCTCTTGGGGTTAGAATGTTGTTCCATTGGCATGTCAATAAAAAAGGCTAGCAACGAAGTCTTATTGATTTCAATCAGTACTCAAGTCTCCCTTGAACCTAAGTGATACTCGACACTAAAGTATCACCCAATACCCAAGTCGCGTGTATAACAATGCAGGCCTAAAACTCTCCCCATAGTATTTACAAAGAGTAGTTATATCTAAATCCTTCGTGGAATAATGATATCACACGATAAAAACTAGTCATATCACGTAGTTTGATGCTAAACAACAAACCCGGCAAATTCGCTGTTAGGGATCAAAATACAAACATTTTTTAACATTCCTTATCAGGACGCGATGTAATCAAAAGTTCGCGATAGGCTCTTGGACTAATACTGGCTCACAAGTAGAAAGCGCAATCTATATAACTGTCTTTAGTTTGGCGATTTGCTCATAGATGGCTCTGCAGGTACCGAGGCTGTGTTGAAAAAATGTGCAGAAAATGCTACATTTATACCGAGCTGAATTGAAGACAGTTTTTTTCTTCTGATCGTTATGTCAAAAAGTCACCGGCGATTCACCAAATAAGCAATTTGACGTTAGAAAATGTTTGAATATTAAGCTGGCGTTCGTTTTTTATATTAAAATATATATATAATATTCCGCATAAGGCACTAAAAGTTAAAAAGCTATGTGATACAGCAAGTTCTTTCGCGAAAATTTATTTATACCTTTACTGTTATGAAAAACATATTTCGTCGGCTTCAAAAGGATGATAAATATCCCCACCGCGAATAAATGCTCAAACCAAAGTAAATTTGATCAAAAAAGGCGTTCACTACAAATGATGAATAAATTGATCTCAAAAGGATTATCCGTCTGCTAACACCGCATTTATCTCCGACAAAATAAGGGGCCATCATCTGTTATGTGGACCCCATCTTTTTGGAGTCATCTTTGATGTCTCTAATTTCATTTGCATTGTCTAACTGACTTATCTTTATATAAATACTCTGGTATTTATTTAAGTTTATATCTTACCAAAGAATCCTTGAAGGTTGTCAATTTTAGCACTCGCAATAAAAAATCATCTAGGCTAGATTCTACTGCTTCGCTGTCGTCCTTAACTATCCGTTTTATGCAACGCAGTAAAACACAAAGTACTGGCGGCTCATTACATTTTTCTAAACACATCAGTATCATTTTACGAATCTGAAAGAATTTATAATCACATAACTTTAGCACATAACAAACACTAGAACAAATTTGGAAATCTTATCTTGCTCATGATGGTTACTAACCTTTTTGAACTGAAACTGAACCGCCTGTTCAGGAGCATATTCTATTAAATGTCCAACAACCTTCAGATACACAACATTATCCAGGCGATCTGCTATTTTATTTGTGACGTATACGAAGAACTTCTGACGGTATAATGGCCTAAAAAACCAAAGGGAAAGTTCACTTTTTGATTTCAGAAAAAATACAAACTTAATGAAAAGAAAATATTTATTACTATCGACATATTCGTAAATTCGGCGGGTTTTATTTCTTAAATATCATTCCATACAAATGTTTGGAACACTCTCGTCGTCGAATGTTGTCTTTAAACTCCTCCAGTGTGGATTATTGGAATACACTTTTGACTTGAGATAACCCCACAAAAAATAATCGCATGGCGTGAGGTGGGGTAACCTAGGAGGCCAGTGAATGTATAGGCAGTGGCCCAATCCTGTTGAAACCACGTGTTTCTGTTAAATCGACGTTCTGTTCTTACAATAGGAGCAAAAAAAGTATCAATCATGTCCCTGTATCGTTCGGAATTGACTGTCAATGCACGACCGTTTTCATCTTCGAAGAAATACGGCCCAATAATACCGCTAGAGGATATGGCGCAACAGTCATCTTTGGACTATGTAGGTTGATGTTTCTCTTCTGAGTACATCGGCCAATATCGGTAATTTTGCTTGTTCACGTAACCGTATAAGTGAAAATGGGCCTCGTCACTGAAAACAACGTTCTCGTATCTGCGCTGCGTATGAAAAAGATTCAATATCACTTTCATTTAAAGCATGGACTCGGTGTATTTTATGAAGATGTAACCCCATTTTTTCCTTCATTATGCCATGCAGTGTTGACCTGTGGCGCCTAATGCGTCCATCAACGCCTCTTCCCACTTCCTCGCGTATACAATTGCCGCATAATTCAAAATTTGAAATGTGAACTTTCCCACTGAATAGATAGGCTGTATATGAATAACCTTATTGGAAGAAAAAAACATACACTTACATACAGTTACAGTGGCTTGTATCACTGAGACACTCATATGAACTGTTCATAATTATTTTCAAGTAGCTTCCAAGTTCTGGGTACTGATCAAGAAGCATCAATAACTGAAAAAAAGTATGCATTTTCGGCTCATTGTGTAAAAAGACATCATTATATCGAATATATGGTATACACTAGGGTGTCCCAAAAAACTTTCTGTTTTTCAAACGCATACCCCCTATTTTTTTTTCATTTGTCTTTAACACCAAAAAAAATAAATTGCGATGGGGAACGATTTCAAATTCAAAGTTTGACCGGTTATCGTTGTCCAATCGCAATAATATTAATGTTTTGCGTTGTTACAGTAAATTGATGATTATTAGAGGCTATGCGTATCTCAATTCGAACAAAAATTTGTTTGCCCTTCGGTATCAACATTCGTGATCTGTTTATAACACTTAACATAGGTAACTCACCAGATCTGCGCAGATAAAACAATCTGGATAGTTTTTCATTAAAAGCGCTTTAGTGAACCAGACCAAAAGTGATAGTGCGGTATCTTTACGCGTTGAGATAGCTTCAAGACATTTTTCCTTGGCCTGCTCAACATAGCTATGGAAATTCTCATCTGAAAAATTAAGAAAGTGCTTTAAGTATACGTTGCTCCATGATGATGTTTCAAAAGCAGCTTTATCTTCAACATACATGGCAGAAAATGATGCAGTTTTGGTTACTAAACCTCAGAATTATTTCCTATGGAGCTATGTAAAATTATTAGTTCTCGATAGTCGAATGGGAAAAAAACTGCGGAACACAAGTGGATCAGTCAGTGGTTCACTTGAGTCCATTTTTAACCAACCTCCTTTTTGCTGAAAAGGCTTCACTAAAGATAGATGCGTATACATCTCGTAAGCCATTGCATTCCTTCCCTTTCAAATACCTCTTAATACACGTTTAGTCAAAAACATCGCAAGTCGTAAGAACGGGTCAATTCAAAAACAGTACCTGTATCCTTGTGTTGTATGTTCTATTTTCGTATTTCTGTGCTATACGCACCAATATATCAGTTTTAAATGCACTAACCACAAAAATAAGATTACACGCCTTATTTGCTTTGCCCTAAATCATTTGTTTATGAGCTTCCTTGTTTCCTACCAAATCCATCGCCTCAATTCTAATCATTTGAAAGGCCGAGGCGGTTCTTTAAATAAACGCTAAAAGTAGCTGTTTATATACACAGTGTGACAAATAATTTTTAAGACTGGTTTCATATCTCAGCAACGGCGCCATCTGTAAAAGTTCAGTTGTATTACAAAGGTATGGTGTATCTGAAGTCACTTGAAATAGCATAAAAACCATTGGTCGGCGCGTCCTTTGTAATTTCATGACGTATCATATGCGTGCGGCATTTATTTAGAACGATAATAATAATGTTTTTATATCACAATAAATGGATTTTACTATCTTCTTATTTTTTTGATTTGGGATAAAATATACTTATATTGGGAGTTTAATTTATGTTGACTGAAAGTTAAGAAATGGAAAAATTACAGAATTCCAACGTTTGACATAGGCAAATATTTACATAGCAGGTAGGTATATAAAAAGGTATATAAAGACTTACATTATAGGTATTTATATATCATCCTCGTCTTCGGAGCTGTCGCTAGCGTCATCTTGTAGAGGAATTACAACGGGATTTACAGGAGGCAAAACACAATATTCATTTTCTTTTTCAATAATATGCCTAGAACACTGCTTCCATAGGTCTGTGGCAGCAATATGAGATACTGCATCTCTTATTGTGGCCAATAGCGATTCACTTAATTGAGGGGTCTGATTATGTTTTCTTACTTTTTTTTTAAAGCAGCCCAGACCAACTCAATCGGGTTAAAAATGCAGTAATAGGGAGGTAGACGTAATACTTCATGGCCATTTTGCTGAAGCAGATTGTCAACAACATACTCTTTTTCAAATTTTTGTCTTTTAATAAGATCCAATAATATGGCTGTGGTTGATTGATTTTTGTGGTATTTCCATTCCCTTATCCTTCATAAAATCAATAATGTCTTGTTTTTTTGTGCCTGTATTCGGAATTTTGTTTTTCTGTCGGGAATGGTATGGCGCATTGTCCATAATAATCACTGAATTTGGGGAAATGTTTGGTATTAACTGCTGCTCTATCCACTTTTCAAATAAGTCGGAGGTCATGTCCTCATGATAGTCGGCACATGATTCTTTGATATTTTTGGCAGATAACAGCAAGGCATTAGGTATAAATCCATTTTCACTGCCAGCATGGAGAATAATGATTCGTTTTCCACGGTTGCATGGTGCATTTAAAATGCACTTGTTGCTGTCTTCAACCCAGCCGTACTGCACAACATCATGGGTATCATACCACGTTTCATCCAGGTAAATCAGATTTCTTTTCTGCTCTCTATAGATTTTATTTTTGTGCAAAAATTCTTGGCGCAATTCAACGATTCGAGACGACTCCATAATCACCATTCTTTTATCTAATTTTTTTGTATTGAAAACCACACAGTTTTACAATACAGTGCAGTGAGTCTAAGCATTTGTAATTATAAAAATCTTCAGGATAATCTTTTAATTTATCCCGTATCATTTCCAACGTGGGCACCAAATTTTCTTTATAAAATCCGTATATTATACGACGAATATCTTCCTGAAAACCCACGTCTATTCTTTTTAATTTTTGCCCTATGCGCTTTCTGTGGAAGGAATGGTTGACTACATCTCCCCTTTTTATAATCCGATAAATGGTAGACCGACTGATTTTTGTCAGGATACAAATTCTGTTTAAAATTTGATTTTGCGAGGAATCTGAATTTTCGTTTTTCAGACAATCATACATATTTAGGATTACTCTTTGGGTCTGTTCCTCTAAATCTTTATGAAAGAATTCTGCCTGCACAGGTTCATCAACCATCTCCTCGTGGCTTGGAGCATTTTCCCAAGGTCTCCAAAGAGCCATATTTAGGACACACAAGAACAATCAACACAACAATTAAATCAACAAGTAAACTGAGTATTCAAAAGTCAAAAACAGACAAACTAATAAAATCTATGAAAAAACACGGACAGACTAAAGAAAACACGTTTATTCACCGCTACACGGCACTGGCTAAACTGTTTCAATTTTCAGTAGCCACCTGCACTTGTTCCGAGCTCTGAAATACACGCTTTCTCATTGGCTATGTCCACGCATAGGCGTGCTTTACTCCACGTGGACCGGTGAAACTGCCTTTGATCTCTTATACGGGGGATATTTGCTGCGAAATTTGGCGATTTTTGCAGCAACAGAGCGTGTTAAATATAGATATATAAAACGCACCCGGTATTTCACAGTGTTTCAAGTGACTTCAGATAAAGTATACGGTGTTATTTCTTTCCACATCGGATGACAAGTGACTACTGCAAGTTGAGACGGTGCAACCTTACCTAGTTTTGTAATCGATGTTGAAATTTCATCATGGAACAAAGAGCGGTCATTAAATTCAACGCAAAGCTTGGTAAAAGTGCAGTAGAAACTTTCCGGTTGATGAGGCTAGTATCGCCATATACTAGGCGCTTGTTTAAGTCGATCAAATGTTTTTGTGCGGCACAAACGATTTTTAAATGGTTGAAAATCGCTAGAAGATGACGAACATACGGGAAGGCCAATTTCAATTCGAGAACCAGAAACGATTGACAAAGTTTTTGCAAATGATCACAACGCTTCACTGAAAATGATGGAACATGTGCTCAACCGAGAGACGATTCGTAACCATTCTTCACGAGGACTTGCACAAAACAAAAGTGTGTGCTAAATTTGTTCCACACACTTTGACGAACAAAACTCAATAAGAGTTGACCATTCTAGAGAAGTTGTTGCAGCCACCAGAAATGATCCAAACTTTGTGAAATAGATTGTTACGGGCGATGAAACATGATGCTTACAGTACGATCCCACAACCAAGCGTCAAAGTGCGGAATGGAAGTCGAAAAATTCACCACAAGTGAGAAAAACGCGAAAAGTGCCTTCAAAAATCAAGACAATATCAAACACCTTCTTCGATAGCAAAGGAATTATCAATGAGGAATTCGTTTCACCTGGTCAAACAGTTACTGGCAACTACTATCTTGAAGTTTTAAAGCATTTGATGGCCAGAATCCGTCGCATCCGCGCTATCTGACAGTTCCCTAATTGTTCGTAAATTTTTGACCCGAAATAAAGTTTGTGATTGGTCATCCGCCATATTCATCTGATTTGGCTCCGTGTGACTTTTCTTTATTTGCCTAAATTCAAATGTTTCTTTTTCGAAGACCTTCCGACTATCCAAACAGTTTCAACGCGGGCACTAGAGGCAATACCACAAAATGAGCTGGATCAGGCTTCTGAATCACTTTTAAATCGATGTAACAAGTGTATTGAAGCCAGAGGAGATTATATAGAATGAATAAAACAATAAGTGAGAAAATATGTTGTTTGTATCCCATTTTATAGACCCAGTCTCAAAAATTATTTATCGCACTGTGTAGATAGTATAAAGATGCAATTACACTCACAACACCTGTCTTGCAATACCAGTGTACGTATATAAACTATGTGCTTCATTCATTTTCATTGACCAACAATGTTGTGAGCTTTTTTGAAAATCTGGACACTTCGTTCTAAATATCTTTGCCCTAAGGGAGGAACTACCCTTTTGGAGGTGGTCTGTTGCTAAATTAGCTAGAGAAACGATGCAATCATTAAAAAGTGAGTTGTTGGTACAAAAATGTGGCTGCTAACTTCACACCGGTTCTTGCAATGTCAATTTTTTGTTGAAAAAATCATTTTGTTCCTAGTAATCCGATAACCAAGTAGATTCTTCTAGAATCAATTGCCAATTATTGAATAAGGTTAAACAAGCGAGTCTATGTATTTTTTCACGATTGTCGATCCATGGTTTGGATGTAAAACGGGAAATTCGGCTTTCCCGGGTTTCCCTATGTATTTTAAAAATATTAAAACACGCAAAATTAAAATATTTTTTTGCTTAAGTTATACACCATATTTCCTAGGCATTTTCAGTTATTAATATAGTGTGAAGGTTATTCGAAACTACAATTTTTTTTTGAACTGAAATACTACTTTAAGTCCAAAATAGTGCCTTAAAAGTGGTTTATTTGTCAGTGAGACAGATTCCATAGGCTACTGAAAAATTCAAATTATGGGACTTTTACGAGGTTATTCCACTGACCGATTCAATTGCTGGCACCAAATGCCAGTAGTAAACATGCTTCTATTCTGTTTACAGGGTAATCGAAACAAGATAACAGAAAGTACATTCAAAAATAACATGAAAATCTTCAATAAGTGTTTGAAAGGAATAATTTTTTATATCTTATTTTATGGTCAATTTGGTATCCTGTCAAAAGACACTAAACAATAATGATAAAAAAATAAAATATAAAACGATGGTTGTTTCAAAAATAAGATTCCTAACGCCGTAACTTTGCCGCGCGTGATAAAATATTATAAATAACAAATAAAAATATAAAAATAATTACGAATCATAAAACTCGACATTCCTTATTGAATAAACGTTATCGTTCATTATTTTCTGTAAATATTTCCTAATTAATATTAACCTTTGGCGAAACTGATATCTATTCTTTATCAGTCCATAAAGAACCTCCGTATATGTAGGTTGTCCAAAACGGACGCAGGAAAGTAAACGCATATTAAAACAAGAAAGATTGATATTCAAATCAAGTTGGGTACTTTATTTTGAAGGTTCATTTATACCATTTATGTATGAAAAATAATCAGTGGCGGCTCGTGAGGTAGTGCCACGGTGCCATGGCACTACCTTGTCTTCTTCAAAAAGAATATTTTTTTCAATCTTCAATGTTTTACTTTATTTTCTGCTTTTTCATTTTTTTTGGTATAAATTATATGAAGTGACAACACTGACAACGTGACAACACCGCAAGCACCCGAACCACGCGAGACGGAAAGCACGCCTTGACCTTGACGTCATCAACTTGTGCCAATTTTGGGCCGGCCCAAATAAAAAGAGAGAAATTTTACTAGCATCGCATACGAGCGACAGAGATAACGCTACCCTACACATTTTTATATGAGGTGAATAGCGAAAGACAAGTATAATTTGTGCCAGGCACATCATCAGTCGTAATTCGTTATCAAGTGATATCGGCGGTGTTTTTGTTCGGTCGGTCGTTTCGTTATGATTACGTCTAGTGGTGATTTCGGTCTTTTTTTACCTGAAAAGTGAAAAATACCTTTTTTGTTTTAGTACGTCTAGTGTTAATGAACTGCTCTGTTTTGTGATCATATTTTTTACTGTTTTATTAAAACTAGTGAAAATGAATAAAATCGGGATATTAAAAAACTCATTTAGTGGTTTTTCGCTGGATCAAAAACTGCAAATTAAAGAATTAGGACGGCAAATACCCGATTTAAAAATTGAGAAACAAAGTGGTAGCGGACAAAAATCGCGCTGTCGCAAATTTAATAAAAATGTGTACGATAAAACCAGCTGGATATGAGGTTGTGAAGAAACGAATAAACTATTTTGTTTTGTATGTGTTCTATTTGGAGGTGACGAGACTTGGTCAAAAAAAGGTACAGACGATCTTATACATATATGGGATAAAATGAAGACCCACGAAAAATCTAAAGTCCATATGAATAATGTTTTTATCTTTTCTATTCTTGGTAAATTAAATATAATAAGGACTCAACTCAATTCGGCTTATCGCAATGATCTAATTAAACATAATAATCCAGTGGATAAGAATCGATATGTATTGAATAAAATTATTAATTGTATAAGGTTTTGTGGAGCATTTGAGTTAGCCTTAAGGGGTCACGATGAAAAGGAAAATTCGGAAAACAGAGGCATATTTAAGGAGCTGGTGAATTTTAGCGCCGAATTAGACAACGAATTGAAAGTCCATATTCAAAGTGCCAAACTTTTCAAGGGTACCTCAAAAACAACTCAAAACGAGCTTCTTGAGTGCATGCTAGATGTTTATCATGAAGAAGTTAAGAAGGAGATTGCAAATTCTCCTTTTGTTGCAGTAATTGCCGATGAAACGACTGACGTAGCCTGTGAATTTCAGTTAGTTATTATTTTCAGATATTTGTGTAAAGGACAACCAGTTGAGAGATTTTGGAGATTTTACGTCCCCGACGGACACGATGCCAAATCAATCGCTGCATGCGTTTTAAATGTTGTAAATCCATTACTAGATCAAAATCCAAACAAATTAATAGCTCAAAGCTATGATGGTGCGTCTGTTATGAGTGGTGAATTGAATGGCGTTCAAAAAATTATTAAGGAAACTTATCCACTTGCAAATTATGTTCATTGCTATGCACACCAGTTAAATCTAATTATGACAAGCGCATGCTCTGTCAATAAGCAGGCTAGAATATTTTTCCATAATTTATCTGGATTGTGCTCTTTTTTTCGACGTCTCCTCAAAGAACAAAAATTTTGGATGAAATAGTTAATTGCAGATTGCCAAGATCTTCCCAAACACGTTGGAATTTTCAGTCACGAGGTGTTCATACAGTTTATGAAAATAGGAAAGACCTGATTGAAGTTATGGACAATATAGAAAGTACTTCACGCGATTCTTCGTCGATTAATCAAGCCAGTGGGTACAAATTAAAGCTGCAAGATACAATTTTTGTATTTTGGCTAAGTATATTCCATAAAATAATGCCACATGTTGAAATTGTCTTTAACCAATTACAAAAAGTATGCACCGATTCTGTTAAGGTCAAAAATGATTTAGAGAATTTTGAAGCAGCAATTTAAACTATACGAGAACAAATGGATAGCATTATTGACGAGATTGAACGAGTGCAGAGAGAAACTGATGAACCGGCAAGAAAAAAAAGGCAAGTTGAAGAAGGCAGCAAAAAACGGGAAGCGTTAGAAATATGCGATGTAGTATTATCGCAAATAAGAACAAGATTTAACTTTTCTGGACATTTAGTTGCTTCTAATTTATTTGTGTCTGAAAAGTTTTCTGTTTATAAACATCAGTTTCCTGAAGCACATTTAAATGACACATGCACACAATTTTCATTTTTAGACAAAAACAGGCTTAAAACTGAGTTACAAGTATTATATCAGAGAGAAGAATTGAGTACTACTTCTGGAGCTGTTCCACTATCCATTTTATTGAACGAGGAAGGATTAAATTGTACGTTTCAAGAAACTCTTAAGCTCTTAAGTATTTTAATCACTATACCGATGTCAACATCTGAAGCAGAACGCTCTTTTTCAATACTGAAACGGATTAAAACTTTCCTCAGAAACACAATGAAGGAAGAAAGGCTTAGTGCTTTAGGAATGGTCTGCAGAAAAACATTTTGTTAGTGGCATTGAAAATTTTAATAATAAGGTAATCGAAAACTTTGCTACCAAAAAAGAAAGAAGAATGGACTTCATGTATAGAAAACTTTGAAGTTATAGGTACTTCTCCACATTTGTTTTATAATTTGGTGCGCGTGTGTAAATAGTTTTATTTTTGATTTTTTTTGGACATATAGATTTATTGAACCTCAAGAACTTTGACCACTAACTATCAGGGGTAAGTTATAAGTTATTCTTTACAATTTTGAATCGATTCAAAATTATGGCTTCCATTCTGGCACTACCTCACTGAATTGGCACGAGCCGCCACTGAAAATAATATCGCTCAAATGTTCACCACGACCGGATTTACAGACGTCCACGCGATGGTCGAAATTTTCAATGACATTTTGCAACATGGTCGGTTCTATGGCATTTATCTCGGCAATGATGTTGTTTTTGAGTTCTTGGAGGGTGGCTGGTTTGTTGACGTAGACTTTGCTTTTCAAATATCCCCATAAAAACAAGTCCAAGGGAGTCAAATCGCACGATCTTGGTGGCCATGGCACATTTCCTCTGCGCGAAATCACGCGATCACCGAAGAAGGACTGCAATCGATGGATATTGACGTTGGTTGTGTGGCATGTTGCACCGTCTTGTTGGAAATAAACATCGTTCATATCCATTCCTTCAAGTTGCGGCAAAAAATAGTCCTCTATCATCACGTGATATCGCTCAGAATTGACGGTAACGGCGTCCCCGGCCGCATTTTCGAAAAAGTAAGGTCCGATGATGCCTTTTGACCACAATGCACCCCACACAGTCACTTTTTGAGGATGCATCGGCTGCTCTTGATACTCACGGGGATTTTCGTTCGCCCAGATGCGGCAGTTTTGCTTGTTTACCGTCCCATCCAAAGTGAAATGCGCTTCGTCGCTGAACATGATTGTTGATGAAAAATTGGCATCAATTTGGCGGTGTTCAAGGAGCCAATCTGAGAACGTTCGGCGCGAAAGATGGTCGGCCCGACGCAGCTCTTGCGTCAATTGGATCTTGGAGGCGTGTACATTCAAATCCTTGTGGAGAATGCGGAGCAAACTGGTTCTCGAAATACCCAATTCTTGGGATCGACGCGTTGTTGATTGTTTCGGATCGTCTCTCACACTCTCCTTCACAACAGCAATACTTTCCGGTGTGCGAACGCTCCTTGGCCGGCCAGAGCCTGGCAGATTTGCCACAGAACCTGTTGCCTCGAATTTACGCACCAGACGACCGATGGTTGTTTCGTTTGGGCGGTTGTTGCGACCGAAATGTTCACGAAGCGCGCGAAACGTGTTTTTATTTTTGCACCATTTTTGTAGTGCTCTTGAATAACTGTAATGCGGTCTTCAATCGAATACGACTCCATAGCGATCAATGGTAAACATTCAACTAACAAAATGACATGTTGGTGACAGAAAACAAAGATGGCGTCTATGTCAAATTGACGTTTACTTTCCTGCGTCCCTATTGGACAACGCTTATTTACGAATACGAGGGTCGTCTCAAAATTAAGGTTCCTAACGCTGTAGCTTTGTCGCGCGTAATGGTAGGCGAAATCTGGCAACAGCGTCGTGTTTGTCGCCCCACCGATCACAACAAGAAGCACCTATTTGCGATGCTCACGGCTCAGTACCTGTCCCACTGCCACACGCAATGGAGGCCTTCATCGCCGTCACCGCCAGGAGGCCGGCGATCTCCGAGGAAGTGTTGTGGCGAAGATTGAACAAATCTCGCGACAATGCGCATCCTGTCTCACAACAAACGAAGGACTTAGTCGAGCAATTTGGCTTGGAAATCATTGCCCATCCCTCTTACAACCCTGACATAGCATTTCCTAAATCGAAGGAGCACCTATGTGGTCAGCGGTTCGAGACAGACGACAGACCAAATTTCTAAACGGACTTGAGGCGGAAGTGCAAAAGTGGATCACACGTCCATAGAAATGGCGACTATGTAGAACAATAGCTTGAAGATCAACGTTTCCAATACGGAATTAGTTTTTTCTAACAAAAAATTCCTTGTGCCTGAAATGTAAGAACCTTATTTTTGAAACCCTCGTAGATAAGTGACGGAGCGTACCATTATCCTTTTTGTTCAACAAGTTGGCTAACAGCTTCACACAAGTATCAATCACAGTCTCTGATCTACTTTCCATTGCCATGTTCAACAGCACATCCAAAACATCGTAACTTATACGAACGTCTCTATTCAGCCGCAATAACAGTCCGTCTAACAAAATGACTGTCAACTCCCTCTGTTTCAGCTGTGACTGTATCCTCTCCAAATGCATCTGCAGAATATTTTCCTGTACGTCACTGTCTTGTAGCCCTATTAAAATCTTCATTATCTCTGATATCTTCAAAAGCATCCCTTCATCAGCCGTCTGCTCCAAACTGAACCTAACCAGCTTATCAACAGCATCATTACTTATAAATTCGGCAAGAACGTTATTATTCATTTGCTTTGTCACCAATAAAGACCTCATACAGTCTACTGCAATGGTCGTGTACTCAGGCTTTTGAAAATATCCTAAAAGATTCGCAACGACCATTTCAGTAAACCTAGGCAAGTTGATCAAATAGCTTAAACTGTTGAGGTAAGTCGTTACGGCTGGAACAGAGTTCAGCTCGGTTTTATGGAAGATAGAAGCGTTAACTTCATCTGGATAGGCTTCAGCTAGACCTTTCAAACAGTCCAACATTACGACATCGTTATTAATGATGAGTGTGTGGATATTGTTGTAAACTACAGCTCTGACTTCAGTTGGAAGATGTCGAGCTATTTGCCCTAAATAATCATATCCTCTTTCTTGTAACATTCTATCACCTTCCACTGCAGCTTTAAGGAATATCATAGGCACATCATTTAACTCATCAGAAAGTCTATCATGGAACGTCAAGTAAGCTATCGTAAATTCCAACAAATATTTCATCAGCTTTTCTTTATGTGGTGATGTAGATGTGATGTTTATTGTGTTGGTGAGGAATGGCACTATTTCCTTGATTACCAAAGCAGAAGAATGTTGTGATCCCCTGGCAATGTGTAGAAGAATGTCTGCTGATGGTTCGAAAAGTTTTGAATCTGGTAACAAGTTTCCTTTTACTGTGTCACAAATGTCTTGTAGCATAGGCTTAACTTTTACATAATGGACCGGATCAGTAGAAGTTCTTTTGACAACTGCAGTGAGTGTCTCGAGACAAAGTGATCTTATTTCATTGGAAGAAGTGGTAAATAGCTCTTTATGAAGTTGATTCCAAATTTTTTGAAAGTTTTCAATGTAGACGGGAGCAGGGAAGTGGTCACAACCGTCTTTCTGTAATAAAAAGAAAGAAAGTATTTTGTATTGTCTTTTTCACGAGTATCCATTACGCTAGCATAAAAGCCGATCATCTAGTAACATTTCAAAATTCCCTATGTCGGCAAATGACACAAAATTCGATGGATACGGCAACGCAGGTAGACAGAGTTGTATTTTGTTTTGGTTTTTTGTATGATACAGATTCATGTTGAAGTTGATAACAATTATTTTCTTATTGATTAAAAGTTCATTTTCAAACAGAAAAAACCTACAGGCTAGTTTTACTAGATCTACATCAGATCGATTATTACCAACCTTTCAGACTAATATAAACATGTCACTTCCCGATCAGCTGTTATCATCAGTAGACGTCAAAATGTGATGAATACTCATAAAATAGGGTTTACTTTACATCTACATTGTTTTTATATAGGTTTCTCTTCTCTTCTGTTTGTAAATTTAATTAACTATAAGATTGGGGATGTTTAAATAAATCGTTATAACCCAATTAAGGATTTGGGTGTAATTTTTACCCATAAACTTAATTTTTTACTCCACATCGCTCAAAAGGTGAGTGAATCTTCGCGGGCATACGGTTTTACTGTGAGAAACTGCAAAAGCTCCAGCCGCCAAGACTCACTGTTGGTTTTGTATTCTGCATATATTAGATCGAAACTGGAATATGCAACGTTAATTTGGAACCCAATTTACAACTGCTACAGTGATTCTCTTGAGCATCTTCAGAGAAAGTTTCTAAAATTTTTATCTTTCAAATTTGACGATGCATATCTGAAAGATTGTTATTATCTAGGTTTCAAATGCAGTCTTTAGAGATGAGAAGGAAGGGTGTGTCAATTATAATCTTGCATAAACTACTGCACATTCAAATTGATGCTAATGAGACTGTGGGTCAATTAAGCTTTAATGTCTCATCTATTCAAACTCGTACCGCTAAAACCTTTTATTGGGCTTGCACAAATTTATTTTTGAAAGCACCCATATATGTAATGTGTGAAACCTTCAATGCTATATCACATTATTGTGATATACATGCTGACAGGTTGAACAGCATTCTGGGATTAGCTAACAATTACTTAAATAATTTTTGATATGTTTCTCACTTGAGTGAAATATCATTTTTTGCTTCTTTTTCTTGTCTGTTTTTTCTTTAGATGAAATCACCTGCTGTTTGTATGTGTTCCATTTTTATTAGTTTGATTTATCTTACAATTATCCTGAGACGGTTTCCTTAACTGTTGACGCTATTTATATATTTATTTATATAGGTTCGCAAGGAGTTGCGAACCCAAGACTAAATATTATTGCTAAATAAAGTTTTGTAAACTAAGAAAAGCTCATTGTAAAGTTTAGTACATGTTTGGTAGATGGTACTACATTTTTAATGTTAATATTAATCGGAATTACATTCATAAACCTCCATGTCAACACTTCAGAGATACTCACTGTCACGTCATAAAACTAACAACAGACTTTCACCAAAAATATGTTAATTATTCTATTCAACCTATATATACTTACCAAAAGTTTCAGTGAATCCAATTTTGCTATGTTCAATGACGAATCCAATTTTTCTAGAGCAAGTGGTATGGCAAATTCCCCAAACTCTGATCTACTACATAGACAAGGACTAAGAGCTTCTGATAACATGTCCCTTGTAATGGCCTAAACAACAAAGCTTATGGAGAAAAATGTGATGTGATAAAAAATGCCAAATGCACAATCAACTGGCTTATTATTTTTTTACCAGCTCAATCAAGGAAAAAAACTTACTGATTCGCTTGGAGGAGCTTTGAAGTCAACGGGAAAATAACAGGCTAGAACTTCAAACATTTCCTCTGAAAGATGTCCCAATGATACATGTTGCAGAAACCTTTGTAACCATTTGAATAGAAAGACGAGGTTGCGAGGATCCCTTTCACCATCTATAGAAGTGATCACAACATACACAAAGTCCATACCCATGGACAACAATGCTGGAATAAAAAATCATGTTTTGACTTGTGCATGTATTTTCGCATTCAGATTAGTAGTAAGCGAATTCCTTTGCTGATACTACAACTATACTCAATAGAAATTCAGTTTATGCATACTATAGTCCATATTTTTTTATTGTACTCGGGTTTTACCAGGAACATTAGTCAGCAGGGTAATTACTTGGTTTGAACGCAAGCACTGATGCAGCACATTTATTCAGTTGATCTCTAGTGTAGCTATACAGGGTGGCCCAATTAAAAGGTTGCACTGCCATTTATAACTCTCCTGGTACATTTTGGAGCAAACGCTCGGACACGTCAATTTTGATTTCAAGGGGGACATCTTTTCATCTATATCCGTACAATACAGGGTGATCCAAAAATAAGATATTGCATTACACCTTATATTTTTAAATGGTAAACCCCATTTCTTTGATTTTTAGATTTTCCATGCATTTTTTAGTCACTTTTGTTTAATAAAATGTATACCTATCTATAGTCTTTGTGAAGCTATTTGAGTTTATTATAAAATTCGACTAACTCAATACTTTTAATAATGGAATACACGGCAAAATTAATCATGAATACCAGCAAGAACAGTCAGTGTCATCGTATGTAATAGAAAAACTTTGTCTTTCATTTCAAAGTGTCAAGTAACCTACTAAGTAGTTTCGCCGTAATCGCCATCAAGAAAATCGACCAGTTAGAAACGAAGCCACAGTTTTGGGACATGTAGCACTTGATAACACCCAAAGCACTCGTGGTTCATGTGCTTAATGAAGACGATTTTGATAGAAAGTTGGAATTTTGCATTAATGTCCAAAGTTTAATCAACAATGCAAATCTGTTATTTAATATTTGTTTCTTCCAGCTGCAATAAAAACACTGCTAGTGGCTTTTCAAGTATCTCAACCCAGTCAAGTACTCATCCATAACCCAAATTTTTGTTTCTGAGTTGGTACTCAGTTTTAGTTTTTTTTTAAATAGACCTAGTGCATCCTTTATTGTTACATTCCACCACAAAATATTGTTTCAACTCAATTGTGTTGTATGCAAGTGTGATTAAGTATGAAAATGTCAAATTACACATAATAAGAAATCTTGAAAAAAGGACTGTCATGGTGTGTACCACATCCTCAGTATTATAGGACATAATAATATGTTGGACCCATAAACAGAATTTCTCACTATGGCTTTGCCAATAAAATCTCACAAATTTAACTATATGGATTATGAATATAATCAATGGGAGAAGAAGGGGTCACACTTCCCAAGCTTTTGTAAAATCTTTTATATTTTTTACATTTTTGACTAAAACTTACACATAATTATGCTTACCTAGAAAAATTCTTTATACTTCCCGACACTCATTCCGGATTTAGAAAAAATTATAGTACAACATCTGCCCTACTTAATCTGCAAGACAATATTTTAAGTGCCTTAGATAAGATTGGCAATGCCTTAATTTCTATAGACTATTCGAAAGCCTTTGACAGCATCAATCATAAATTATTACTTGCTAAATTAAATTACATAGGCCTTGACAGTGTATCCTTTTCATTTTTCGACAGTTACCTTCTTCAAAGAACTCAGTGTGTTTTTCTCAATCAAGAAATGTCTCAAGTGACAATAATTCCCTCAGGCTTACCTCAGGGCTCTGTATTGGGGCCGCTTCTGTTCCTCATATATACGTTCGACTTAAGCAAAAGTGTTGATAATTCTCATGTCCAGTCATTTGCAGACGATACGCAATTGCCTCATTATTTTAACCCAGATAATGTCAATAATACTACTCAAATTTTACAAAACGATGTTAATAAATTAATTAAATACTCTTTAGATCACAATCTACTTATTCATCCACAAAAATCTAAAATGTTATTATTTTGCGCACAAAGAAAAACATACAATGTAACACAGCTCTTGAACATTCAGATAAATAACCAAATCTTGCAATTTTCTCATTCTGCAAAAATTCTTGGTGTTGTTTTTGATACAAAATTAAGGTTTATTGAACATGTTAAAAGTCTATCTCAGAAAACCTACCTACGGCTGCGCACTCTTATAGCAAACAGGTATTTACTAAATTTTAAGATGCGTAAAAAACTATGTGAAGCATTGGTCATATATATACTAAATTATTGTAATATCGTATACTATACTTGTTTAGACAATTTCACTAAAAACGTTATTCAAGTTATTCAAAACAATTGTATACGATTCATTTTAGAATTACGTAAATTTGATCATGTATCGGCGAAATATCCTGTTCTAAACTGGTTAAAAATTAATGACATGGTCAAGTATCACTATTCAGTTTTTGTTCACAAATTGCTGCTCACGTCTAAACCTTATTACTTGAAGGAAAAAATTTCATTTAATAATGATGTTCACTGTAGAACTCTCAGAGAAAATAATATTAGAATACCCCTGCATACGTCTACACTTTTTAAATGCAGTTTTTCTTACAATGTTGCTATTATTTATAATGACCTTCCTAAATTATATAAAGAATTTTCATTACCTGTCTTTCGACAAAAAGTTAAAACATTATTACTCAACCCTCCAAACATATAATTTACGTAATCATTCATTTCTTTTTTATTACATCTTTAATTCAGATTAATACTTTTTTGGTGCATTTGGGTTTGGAAAGTATGCCTTTTTCTCTTTTTTTTAAATTTTACTTTCGATGTAATGAACCAAATCTGTTTGTCGATAGTGTATTCTTTTGAACATCTGCTAGAGACTATATGGTTAAGTGTAAGAATAGCAGCATGCTAAACTTCGCCGTATAAGTCTGACATTTGGCTACACTACAATGTAATTGTGGATAAATAAAGACATCTATTATTATAATGCCTAACCTAGCAACTTCATGCCTTCTAACACATAATGGTAAACCTTTTACTTTTACTTTTTTTACTGAGACTCTGGTGTCAGGAGATATTCAAAATGAGCTATGTATGAGCCACAGATGAAGAGCAAAAAAGGCCTACAAAATATATTTTCAATCTCCTTATGTCAAGCTACTATACTTTAAATAGCTGAACTACTTTGCTGTGAAACCTCTATTCAACAATCTGGCCCCCTTTAGGACTCAAGCTCATAGAAATTTGTTATCACCTCATTCTTAAACTCTCCACATTTTAACTGACTAAATGAAAAAGTTATTATGACTTACCTGTACGATATAAGTCAAACATATTTTGAAATATACAATAAATGCTGTATCTATCTGCCTGTTGTTGTTGCTGACATGCCACATTTTGCAGAAATGTGTTCAGAAGTGTAGGTATGACCTCTTCAGGGAAATGCTTGAATTGTATTATCCTTAGAATTCCTTTGAAGACAGTGGGCAAAATCACATGATGACCTTTTAATATATCAGCATAAAATGTGGCTAGAACCTTAATCTGTTGAGCATTCAAAAAATCTATGGGTAAGCTTTCTAGCACTATAGTTAAGGCAAGTACACCTAGTTCTCTTTGCGTAGGGTCGATATTTGTCAAATACGGACGTAGTTGCTCGATTAGATCCACTATCGTAGCATTCCCTTTAAATATCTCTAAAAACAAGTCATGATTTTAATAAAGAATAGACGTGAATGCTGCAATTACCTACCCTGTGCTATTTCAGAGCATTTTCTATCAAATTTCTCGTCCACCTTATCAGGCAGCATTTTACAAAAACTAGCGATATCCATTTCTATTGGGACATTAGAAGCATCCGTTCAAAACCAGTTCAATACATTCAAAAACTTTTTGAAAAATAAATCTAACCCTACTTGGGTTTGAAATTGACAGAAGATATGACACGGAACGATAGAACACATAATAACCGCAGAACACCTAAGAGTTGGACACATAACAGGCATACGGCAACCACAGATGCAGCAGTGGATTATTAAAAAATATTTCTTTCTGCCATATTTGTCCCTCATATTTTCCATATTTGTTTACCTATAGTTGAATCATAGTGGACGAAAAAGGCTCTGTATTGCGAGTTTATTGTAATTTTATGTTTTATTGATATAAGTTGATCAGAAGGGTAGTTACACATGGGCATATAAAATAGTTAGCTTAATTTTTGTAGGAAAATTTTAGGAAACTATTTTGTATTGAAGATCAAGGTCACCCTTGTTCAGATGCACCTTTTAGCTCTTCATACTTAACAGAATTATGAAATGAAATTTACAAAAAAATATTTAATAACGTAGTATCGTATCCTCACAAATATAGTAAAGTGTTTTATTTTTAGAATAAAATACTCCCTATGAGCAGAAAAGTGATTTCACCTCATCATGACGTTATTCGAAGGATATTCCTGTTTTGTCCTTAATCAGTGTCCCAGTTGGGCGGAAATCTACAACACATAATGGGTCACTTTGGCTCGTAAGTACATTATTTATGGATGTACTTTCCCGTGTAAAAGTATTGTCACTGTTTTTATAATCAACCTGTATAATCAAGGATACAACTACAGCATACTTGGAGAAAATATCCCATTAGATTTTTTGTCTTCAATAATATTAGAAAATACGCAGGGGGAGACAACACTTTTATATATGGAGGATGGGGCTGGATTCTCTTATCCCAAAAAGTGATAACTTTGGTGAGAGTCTGAAAGTTATACCACATAAAATAGACTTTGAGCTTCTTCTGAAACAATATAGAAGCGAGATAATTCAAACTGGGTGAATTACATTCACATCAGCTAAAAGAATAATCGGAAGCCCCCTCGGAAACCAACTTTAATTACGGAGCATAGATCAGCTTTAAAAAATGGTGAATGCGCTAGATGTTGTCTAAGTTTAAGTAACATGGTGTCTACTTTTCACTACGCAATAACTAAATTTCTCAAGTACTTACTTACAGTATCAACGCCCTGTAGGAAGTATCTACTGCTATTATGCCTCAAGCCGTTAAAGCAACATGTGTTTAAAAAGGTAAATTTATCCAATAATGCAGTAAATGTGACAGAACTACCACCTAATTTAAGAAAGAAATAAAAAAAGTAACCAACTTCAAAAATTTCAAGACTTTAGGATCTTGTATATCAATATGAGATCACTAGGAAATAAAAGTTCACTTCTTGAATCATCCATTGCTGATATGAATTATGATGTTTTGTGTATAACTGAGCATTGGGTTGGATGAAGGAGAAATCAGTACGCTGAATCTACATGGTTACTAAACAGTGGGTTTTTCAGCTAGAATTTTTTTCATTGGAGGTGGCACTGGCATTTTAGCTAATGGTAGTTCAAAATCTAAGAAAACATCTGATAATATTGAAAAATGTTTCGAGTCCACGTGTGTATTTTAGAAAGACTTTAATTTATATATTTTAACTATCTACAGGTTCACTTCGGCCCAATTTCACACCTTCTTGACAGTACCCGTGCCTGGCTTGAATCAAAAGCTGGAGATGTCTGATCGCTTAGAGGTAATCGATATCACAAAAAAATGCCGTCGTCAAAATTGTAGGAAAAAGTTATCTATTTCCTGGCCTATAGGGGATAGCGTGAACACGCTGAAACAGCTAGAAAGCGGAAGCAAGCTGGGTACCAGAACACAAAAGGCGCAAAGGAGATGAGCTAGCCAAAAGGGTGTGGTAAATTGCCTTGTACGGTCAGAGCCCTTCTGTGGCATAACGAGAACACCCATCAAACAGTCCATAAAGGATTGCAAGATAAAAAAGTCTATGTAACCCCTGAAACTTATCCTATGGTTTTCATGTCCATAGAACTTCATTGCAGGACCACCGAAACATCGTACGAAAAGCAGGAACTCAAACAGATATGTGGTTTGAAAAAGTCGCCAGCATGGTGGAAATAAGGTTGGCTAGGGCAAATTTATTTTTTTAAGAACAAGCTGTTGCGCAGGCAGAAGCCTAAATGCCAGGGTACCGCAGGTGATATGAGGAGCTTATAGAGACTTTGCCCCACAATCTCGGTACCCTAGGGACAAAGGAGTGGTCATATCGGCCAGTTCAGATGTACATATGCTAAATTACGTAGAACATGTAACACTTACCAGGAGTGCTGTAATTTTGAGCATATTTTTAGGTCTACTTATAAATAGAAAGTGTTTAAAATTTTAACTCGTTGAGTGAACTCTAGGTGAACGCTAGGCATGATAATGCAATGAAACAAATGGAACCAACACAGGAAAATCACTGAATATTAAGTAAACATGCTCATATTGTTCGGATCCTGATAAGAAAATAAGCATTTACAAAAGTTACGGCTCAGAATGCCTTCAACATTTTGTCAGCGTATAAATAAATAAATAATTTTTATTTGTTCTGTAGATCATTTGTTATGACATAGAACACGTCAAGGTACTCTGTCTTGAAAACTGCTAGAAGCATTCCAAAAATAGATAAATAAAAACAAAAACAATACACATATGAAATATACTAAGTAACATATAAATCCGAACACCCAGTTTAAATGGTTTTATTTTAATAAAAGTTGGTGAATGTATTTATCTTACTGTAAATAACAAGTGAACAAATTTTCAGCCTTATCAGTTGGACATTCCGGTTTTTATACTGCTTTTTTTTATTCACTAACGCTCTAATAATGAATATTTCAGCCGCACAGTAAAGAATCAACTTTGGCGGATTTTGGTTCTTGACATCCTTTACGATCGGTTACGATGCCTAGAGTACGGAGACCTGTACGATTTCGTCAACTTAGTGAGTTTGATAGGGGCCGTATAGTGGGACTTCGGGAAGCTGGACGTTCTTTTCGGGCAATTGCAGTTGGAGTACAAAGAAGTGTAGACACTGTGGTTAGGTGTTGTCAGGCATGGCTTCGAGAAGGCCGTACGCAAAGAGCAAGGGGCACTGGACGCCGCCGTAGAACAACAGACCGTGAAGATCGCCGCCTAAGATTATTTTCCTTAAGGGACCGTTTCTCGAATACCAGGTCCATTGCAAATGAATGGTTTGCAGAACACGGAAGACCTATTGGCATGCGAAGTGTTTACCGACGAATGAGAAGTTTTGGCTTGTTTTCATACCGGCCACACTGGGTCCTCCCTTTAACTCGAGAACACCGACGTAATCGCCTTGAGTGGTGCAGATAACGGTCACTCTGGGATCAGGAATGGAACAGTATTGTCTTTAGTGACGAGTCTGCATTTTGTTTAGGCATGCACGATGGTCGTGCCAGGGTTAGAAGGCGACGTGGTGAAAGGAGGAATCCACAGTTTTTTGTTGCAAGACATGTTCATCACACTGTTGGAGTTATGGTTTGGGGTGCTATAGCTTATGGTTCCAGGTCACCTTTAATCTTCATCAGAGGTAACATGAACGCGCAGCGTTATATCCACGAAGTTCTAGAACCCCATCTTTTACCCTATCTTGACACCCTGGCAGATCCAACTTTCCAACAAGATAATGCCCGACCACAAGTTGCAAGAGTCACAATAGACTTCTTTCAACATAATGATGTCAGATTGTTACCAGGGCCACCAAGATCTCCCGACTTATCCCCAATTGAGCACGTGTGGGATATGATGGGTAGGAGATTGCTCAATTTGCAACGTTCTCCTCAGACTCTAGAAGCACTTCGAGAGGAGTTGGTGGTTGCCTGGAATGAGATACCACAGGAGGACATTGACCACCTGATCAGAAGCATGCCTACGCGCGTTGGAGAATGCGTAGCACATCAGGGTGCATCCACACATTATTAAAGGTCAAAGGGCTTTAAAGCAGTGCAATCATTTTGAAATTTTTATCATTTACTTATTATGCTTCATTCAGTACTTATACAAAATTTTATTAAAATAAAACCATCTAAACTGGGTGTTCGGATTTATATGTCACTTAGTATATATGACAGTAAAAAAAATAATGAACAAAAATACATCACAGTACATATTAAAATAAATCGACGAAGTTAATATATAATAATGATAATAATATGTCTTTACTTTTTAGTTAAAAGAATAACAAGGAAAAAAACTCATTTGATGAGGGAGGCGACATTCAACATAGTTGCTCTTCCATGCAACCCCTAGATAAGATATATGAATAAAATACAAGAAGCATAAATAACATGCTACAGTAGAAAATGTATATGCGACTAATACAGATCTCACATTTGAAAAAGTTAAGTATCTTGATCTAGCTATACTTCCATGATAGCAAATATGCTACCAAGTTTTAATCAAAATTCAATAAATAGTTCTGGGTGTTGCATTTTATATGTCACTTGCTGTGGCGAAGCGTCCATGTAACCATTGTTACCATTGGTAACAGTTAAAAATCATAAAACTAAATATTTTATGACTAACTACTGTGAAATGATTTCATTTATTTGTTTACCAACAGCGATGTGTAATTAAGTAAATAGAAAATTAGCCCCACGAAAATAGTGCGCCTTATAGTGTCTAGGTTTTGCGAAAACGATGAAACTGACTGGCCTCGACTTGGTTGTCAGTTATTACCATTTTCATTTATCGATACACTTGGTAGTCTGTCGGGGACCGTCGGTACCGGCTCGTGTCTGATCGTGGTCGCCCGAGTTCGTGCGGCGCTGCGACTATTACGTGGGCTTGTTAAAATTTTTTGATTTGGTTACTCAATTCTCACTCGTTAGTAGCCGTTCTGATTACCGGAGATCATTGAAAATGGAAGACCAACGCCTATTTTAGATTTTAAAAAGGAATAAAAAAACGTAGTTTGATATTTTAGATTAAGTTGGTATATGGAAACTCTTGTTTATGTGGTTGTAAAAAAACAGATTGTATGGTTGGCGATGTCTTCTGTTTTATACAGAATAAAATGTAGCGGAGTCAACGATTTAAATAG